TGCGGGTTTTGAAAACAACAGGCGATTAGCGTCGGGAACAACACCCGAGACAGTCGATCGTCGCTGAAGTACTCGATGGGCAGCGAACACAACTGCTGGACGACAGTCGGCCGTTGGCCCGACTCTAACAGCGCCTGCAATCAAACGCACAGTTAGTTTAGCAGACAAGTGAAGTGGTGAGTGAGTGGACACAAGTACCTGACTCGTCGTTGAGGACAACTGTGTTGCCGACCAATAGTATTGCTTCGTTGAGCAGCGCTTCCCTCTTATGGTGAGTGCAATACCAGAGAAGGTATGAACAGATGTGCCGGAGCTGTGGTGACAGCCCTTTGCGTACTTATACTTTATACTCGCAATATTGCTAAGACTAGAATATTCTGAACACTAGTCTTAGCAACTTTGAAAGTATAACGTATTGACAATAAAGTAACCTAAACTTTATTTTGATGCTTAAATATTTTGTCCAAATTAGAGCAAATGGGCATGCTATAAGAATAAATTATACACATAAATTTACAATGTTTAGTAAATTATACCGTTACAATAGGAGAGAGAGAGAGAGAGAGAGAGAGAACAACTAACACAAAATAAATATGAGTAAAAACAAATTTACTTTGTAAATAATGTAACGATATATAGAGATAAATATTTGTAGATAAGCAGGACACAACATATAATTTGGTAACAAATAAATTAAGAATCCTAGTACATACTGGACAATGTCATAATTACAGTTAAAATTAATACTGTTATTCGTATATAAATAGTTTATTGGATATGCGGAATATTCAACAAATATTTGTTAATATAACATTTATCAACACATGATTGATGTGTTATACCGTCATCGAAACACTTAGCACCATGGTTTATCATATGCTGATAAACTTGCAGAGTTGCTAAGACTAGTGTTTAGAGTCTTCAAATAATTATAATAATTTCTTAACATCCTGGTCAAATTATGGCGTATATACATAAATAGTTGACTATTATTGAAACTATTTTGATTACCCAAAATAAATGCAGTAAAATATTTACATCCAAAGATACAATAATCGCACGTATAGTCAGTATTACATTTTGAAAATATTGTAACACAATAGCAATCATTAGTTGTATTCGGCATTTTACTAATAAAGTTTATAATATATTTTGTAATATTTATATTATAATTGTTTTCTAAGGTTTAGTCCAACTGTGAAGAAGTTTTTGGTGTATAATAAACGATGGTTTATATTAAACTTAATGCAAAACTACGGATATGTTTAGTTTACTTATTAAATAAAAGTATAAACTATTTTTTAAAATACAAGTAATAAACTATTTATAACTTTATTTCAACTGTTGTTGGATTATGACTGATATAAACATATTTACGATAAAGTATTTATGTATTTATAAGATATTATTAATGATTTTTCTAAATTAAATAAAATTTAATTAAAATTAGGATGTAACTGTATTTTGGTAAAACATAATACAGGGCGTAACAATTAATTTAATTATTTACTATTGTTATATCGATTTATATGTCAACAAAAAAATAGTCACTACAATATATTTCTCTAATACACTAGAATTAATGTTGGTTTAGAAATACACATCGATTTAACATTGCATTTGGTATTATTATAATTATTTTTTAGATTTTATTTGCAAATAAACAAAATATATTTTCTGTTGAATTCAATAATAATTTGTTTGGCTAAGGAGTGAGAAAAATATATCATTGCATTATGTTTATAAACTAATACATACAACCAATTAATTACAAATGCAATAATAATACACAATATTATGACATATAAATTATTTGTATTGAGACTATTATTACTATAAACTGGTGGGCGTTGAATACGAGGGAACAGTTGAACTGACACTTCGGTATTATTTGATTTACATAATAAAATCTCATAGAAAATTGAATTATCATTAGCTTTGAGTTTATCTAACATTTTATTAAAATCCCTATCGTTTGTGATAATAGTTTTATCGATAGACCACTCGTTATATTTGGCCAACACTTGCCGACACTCAGGTCTGTGTCTCCAATTGGGTGTTGACATCATTGCCGCTAATGTCTGGCATAGACTCAGTATTGATGTCTTAAATACTGATTCTTTGTAAAGTGAAATAGTTTTGTATGAAATTTATAATTGTATTAATTAATTATTAATTCATTTTGTTTTACACAATAAAAACTCGTAGAAAAATGAATTGTCATTCAATTCAAGTGTATTTAACAGTGCATTGGATTCTTCATTATTTTGTGTAACAATATGTTTATCGAGTGACCAGTGGTTACACTCCTGTAATACTTCACTACTTGTCGGCCGATTGTCGGCTATTGACTGAAACATTTGTGCAATCATTTCATGTAATTTATTAAATTTGACACAAAATGTGGTCAAACCGTAGCTTTCCTTTGGATTATCACTAGAAATAATAAAACAAACATTACTTTAATTTATATAGAATTTCAAATAATTATTTAATACTGTGTCACTTCAGTCTATGTAACCCATAGGTGTCGGTGCCGTACAGACCGTACAGACGGTTGGTTTGGCCGCTGTTTTACAGCTACCGGTGCTCTCGAATGTCTATTACAGTCTAAGAGATTACGTGTAAATACTATACTATTGTGCACTCAATTAACATAGATTTTATACATTAATATACGTATCGTTTTATTAACGCATTATAACTCTATTTATAATCTAATTAATTGATTAAAAGGTTTAATTGTATTATTAATGACCGCATTTGCCAAACATTGGGCGGCAATAGAATTGATATAACAGTCGAAGTTTTACAATAAATAAAATTGAAAAACATTTATAATTTATAAATTTATAGTTAACACAAAAGTGAGATTTATTTTTACAAATATTTAAATCAATTTATAATTGGGTTTTTGTATTTAATTAATGTTTAATTAAAAATTAATGTAATTTTTCATTCAATTGATAATAAAATACTTGTTTTATATTTGAATGATTGCTAATCGGATGACAGAAACACTCAGTGATGGCATGTATTGTGAAATACTGCCTAAACTATAGTTATTATCATATATTCATGAAATACTTTAGTTATCAAATCCATGTCTCCAATAGTTTTCACTGATTATAGCAATAAAATGCATTTCTTTGTATTTCTTTGTTATAAACTATTATATATTTAATATGTTTTGTAATTGTATTTAAATATTTGTGAAAATGTGTGAATTTATCGACAAGTTTTCAGTTTGTCATAAAATCCCGATTAATATTAAACAAAATATTGCAAAAATACATGTTTTTAATGATTGGTATAAAGAATATAACATTTTATTCATTGGCGTGACCCCTCTGCCCGCTGCCATACATTACGTACAGTCTTTCCTATTTTCCTGGCATTATACAGTCAAGAACAAGTAAAACTAGGAGCACTTTTTTTAAATTCATTCTTGAAACGTTAATTTGATTTTAAATCTGTTTTCATAGAATTGTACCCAGATAAATTTCCTAAAAATTGATATATGATATGTGATTATTGTTTTGATATACAAATACAGGCTCTAAATTTAAAATTTATATTTGAACTTGTATCTCGAGATTCAATGATGGAATCAAAGTGATCTCTTCAAGGATATAATGCCAAACTTCCGTTGTCAGAGTTTGCCACTGACATTATATACAAAATCATCGTGGTTGGTTAGTAATTTTAAGTCAATTTTCATTAAATTTCCAATTGACTATAATGTTAAATTTAAATATCGCCAACATATACACCAAAATGTTCAGGGTCGAAAATAATTGTATACATGTTTCAGAAATTTTTTTATAAATTACAAATTGTAGAAAATATAGACAATACAGTATGAAACTCTAAAATTACTAATCAACCACGATGATTTTGTATATAATGTCAATGGCAAATTTTGACAACGTAAAGGAGAAAGTTCAATGTAAATTGGTAAAATGCCAAAAATTTTATATTAAATTTTTTTATTTGTTTTTAATTTGCGAAATTAATTATCATTGTGCAGCAGTGCTGGGGATTCATATGTCATATATATTACTATACACTCACTTCGTATCTCATATATATAGTAACTTTCCATACATTACTGTTATGACTACAGTAAAAGATCATTTGGGTGAAGTGATTTGGTTTTAGCATTTGGTTCACACAATTGATCAGTTCACACAGTTGATACCTTTTTAACGTTATGTCTATTGAGTGTGGATTTTGGTTTTGGTTCACACAAATGATCAGTTCACACAAATGGTACTTCACACAGATGGTCCTTTACTGTATTTTATACCTAAGTTATACTATTTATTACTTGTATCTTAATATGTATTTTATTGTATACTTGATATCATTCACTCACTATATAAGACGCTCGCATATCATGTATAACGAGCAGTCAGTATGTAGACATCATATAGTGTGTAGACTCTGGTGCGTGCACTACGGTGCCCACCCTTTGCCATGTAAACCATTCTCATACGAAGACTTTATAATAAACATTGTTATTGTTAATCGAGTCCACATTAATCAACCCTTCGGTGGTCATGTTCTTGGAGACGCAGCCGGAAAACAACACCCCTTCCCCCGGCCGTCTGCAATTGTGAGCATAATTTAAATTGATATAAATGATGTACAGAATTTACGTTAATCAATATAATACGTGCATAAATGTTACTAAATTTCTTATTTTGATATAACTTTTACCCATGATGTCAGATTTGGGAAATTCCTTCAGATTACGATTCCTCTCATCCATACCTTTCGATTGATATATAATATGATATACTTATTCATAAAATGCAAGATTTAATATTTAAATTTTTTCCGATAAAAGTGGTCACTGCGGCTAAACCCGAGGTCGTCTGGCCAAATAAATTCATTATTTTTAATTAACAAAACCGTAATTAATCTCTTCGTTCCGAAGAGATATGAGTTATTGATTCGTGTCTTTGTTTGTGGCCTAAGGGCCGGATAAGGTTAGTCAGGGATCTCACCCCGTCCTGATATACTGCCCCGGTTCAGATTTAAAATCGAATTAACGGTTCATGAATAAATCGCAAAAAATCGCGCCTAGTTTTGCTTGTCTTTGACTGTACATATCTTTGTATGTGGCAAAGGGGCATAATAAAAGGTGACATTATTTATGAACATTCCTAAAAATCATTTGTACAGTTAATAAAGAGGGGTCACGCCAATGTGGGGTCACCTCGTTGATTTGCCAGTAATGTATTATTTGTGACAAACGATGATTTGGTCTATGGTTTGGGAAGTAATTGGAATGGAAGTATGGGTTTTGGACACAACAGTCCTATACTATCGCCACAAATGATACCACAATTATGTCATCAAAACATACAATACTTTGTCAATGGAAGTGATTTTGTGTTAGCAGTGAATGATATGAATATAATATATGGATTTGGATGTAATAGTTGTGGACAATTGGCACGAAATGTAATAACTAATAATGAAATACAAAGTGTTTATTATAAACCGGAGATTATATCATATTTTAATAATAAAAACATTCAACAAATCAGTTGTGGTTATCAACACACTCTGGCCCTCACAAGTGATGGTCGGGTCTATGGCTGGGGTGACAACAGTTATGGACAAATTGGTTGTGGAAATCGTGACAATATTTATACACCGATTGAAATAGAATTCAATAATAATTATAAAATACAATCCATTTATTGTTATTATGATTCTTCATTTGCGATCACATGTGATGGGCATGTCTTCAGTTGGGGTGACAACGTATACCATCGATTAGGACAGAGAGTATGGTTTGGTTTTATAAACGGTACGAAATAATACAGTAGTTGTTATGTAATGTGACGGCGAATGTACAGCAATGTAATAGCACACAACGAAATTATCATAATGTAAATTAACTAGATGACAAAATAAACATAAGTGTATGTTGTATTACATATTGTATTACAATATTTACGTTTTGATAATTTCCTTGTGTGTAATTGAAGTCACATTATAATTATACAGCAAATATTTATGGTTTTTATAACCAAACCATTCTCTGAATATAACATATGAAGTATTGAAACCCCGATTCATATCAAACTTAAATAATGTGAAAACAATTAGTTGTTGTAATTTTGGGACATTTTTTCTGACAACAAATGGTTTATATTTTTGTGGACAATATTATGATAATTATAAAGAAATGACAAAAAAAATTCCGAAACGAATACTATCTGAACATCATTTCCAAAAATTAGCACAAATTAATTCATGCATTAGTTATGATTTCATTTGTGTTTTAATAAACGATAAAATATATGAAATATCAAAACAACACAAAATAATTGAAACAAATTATAATACTTTTATTGACTTTTACGGCAATGAATACAAAAGAACTTATAATACAATTAATTTGAAAGAAATGAGTGATAAGTCAAGTAATGGTAAGAATGAAACCAAAGCCAAACCAATACAACTGATGGCCAGTCATAGCAAAGGTATAATCGATTGGAAACCGATTAATAGTAATTTTAGTCCACTTTTATTATAAATAATAAATTTATAATATTTTAATTTCTGTTAGTGATTGACAAACAGACAAATTCTACTAAACGTGAAATTATTGAACCACAACAACAACAGTTGGGTCACTCCATAAGCATCAATGATAATTCAGAACATTGTAATGACCAAGGTAGTTCACTATTCAAACTTTACTTATTTAATATTATTAATAATTATTTGACAGATGACTACAATTCAAGTGATGGTAACTATAAAACCCAATTCATAGAGATGTCAGCCATAGGTTCGGGTGGTTTTGGGACTGTATTTAAAGTAAAGCATAGATTGGATGATAAGATATATGCCGTTAAAAGAGTGCAATTCGGGGGTAAATTCAATAACATTTTGTTTTATGCGTTAATAAATAGTTCTAAAAATATTTTCATAGATTTTAGTGAAGAAAAGAAACAAAAAATTATGAAAGAAGTGAAAATATTATCAAAACTGGACTCAGATTTTGTGGTCAAGTATTACAACTCGTGGTCTGAAGGGAAACATGTGTTCATTCATATGGAGTATTGCTGTCAAACACTCGGAGATGTAATCAAAGACAAAGCCATAGTATTTGGCAGACAATCGTCGGAAGCGATGAATTTCTACGAGTATTTCATTTCGTGTGAAATACTTTGCGAATTCTTGCAATGTATTCAATACATCCACGAATTGAAACCACCGGTCATTCACCGGGACTTAAAACCAGAAAACATTTTAATCGTTACAAACCCTAAGAATAAGCGATTCTTACGGATCGGTGACTTCGGTGTGGCCACAGATCACGGCATGACATCCATGAGCCACACGTCAAGTGTCGGGACCTCACAATATATGGCACCCGAAGTGTTTCAGAGCCGATACACCACTAAAGTAGACATTTATAGTCTGGCAGTCATTTCGTATCATTTGTTTGATTTATTCAATATGTAAGACATATTATG